ATACATGCACACACACATATATATATGTAAAATATATATAATATATATATGTAAAATATATATCTTATCTATATAAATCTCACCTTAGGTAAACAAAAGTATGTGAATATGTCAGAATTTATGTATTCTGTTGTTTTTAGGTATTTAGCCAGTTTCTAGTTTTGCTCGTTAAGTGTTACTATAAATAGTCTAGTATGCATCTTTTAATGAACCCATGTGTGTATGTGTGTTCATGTGTGTATGTATGTTTGCTTATTTTAGTTGGTTATATAACAAGGAGTACAGTTGCTGAGTCATAGAATGTGCTTATTTCACATTTAGTTTACAAGTACTTTTTACAAATTCACACTCCCACTAGCAATGTAAGAGAATTCTAATTGCTCCACATTTCACCAGAAGTTGGTCTTTTCCATTTGTTCATTTTTACCAGTTTGGGAGGGGGGAATATTTTATAGGCATTTCTCAGAAAAATTGTGGGTTTAGCTTCAAACCACCATAATAAAGCAATTATCTTAATAAAATTAGTCATACAATTTTTAAAAAAATTCTCAGGGCATATAAAATTGTTTATACATAGTGTATTAAGTGTGCACTAGCATTATGTCTATAAAACAATGTACATACCTTAATTAAAAATACTTATTTTGGGACCATCAGATGGTGTAATGGTTACATCACTGGACTTCCACATAGACAGCCATGGTTTGAGTCCCAGACCTGGCAGCTTAAAACTCAACACTGGGTGCATGTGCATTTATGCGCATGATCCTGAGAGAAGAATTGGAGGAGAAAGGATTGCAGCATGGCCATCCTAGGGGCTGATTTCTCACTTTCTGTCTCTCTGTCTCGCTGGCGAGTACACATGCCCTGTAGCAAAAATCTCTCTTAAAAAAAAAAAGAAAATTTTGTTGTTCAAAAATGCTACCTAGCTACCGTCTTAGCCTTCAGTGAGTCTTAATTGTTTTACTGGTGAAAGATGTGTCCTTGATGATGGCACTGATCAGGGTGGTGGTTGCTGAAGCCTGGGGTGGCTGTGTCTGTTCAAATGACACAACAATAATGCGTGCTACATTGATTGACTCACCCTTTCATTAAAGATTTCTCTGTAGCATGTAGTCCTGTTTGGAAGCATCGTACCCACAGGAGAACTCCTTTCACAACAGGAGTCAGTCTTCTCAAACCCTGCCACTGCTTTTTCAACTAAGTTTATGTAATTTTTTAAGTCTACGTTGCCATTTTAACAGTGTTCACAGCATCTTCAGGAATACAGCCCATCTTTGCTCAAACCACTTTCTTTGTTCATCCATAAGAAGCAACTCCTCATCCGTTAAAGTTTTATCTCAAGATTATAGCAATTCAGTCACTTCTTCACACTCCACTTATAATTCTGATTTTCTCACTATTCCCACTATATCTGCATTTACTTCTTCCTCTGAAGTCTTGAACCCCTCAAAGTCATGCATGAGGGTTAGCATCAACTTTTTCCAAATTCCTGTTAGTGATGATATTTTTACCTCCTCTTGTGAATTATATAATGGTCTCAATGGCATCTAGAATGGTAACTCCTTTCCAGAAGGTATTCAGTTTACTTTGCCAAGATCATCAGAGGAGTCACTATGACTGCCGTAGCCTAGTGAAATGTATTTCTCTCTTATACTCTGGTTTCTCTTCAGATAATACAAATCTTTCACCTTTTACTAAAGATTTCTGTGGAGAAATTTCTCTCCCCACCCCCCATCCTTTATTCATGATAGAGAATATGCATGAAAGAGATGGGGGAGAGGAAGAGTTAAAAAGCATCTGTCTGTGGGAAATGTTTACACCACAGTCCCATCTTCATTTCTCCCTCCTTTCAGGGTTTTGGGCACACATGCACATTCACATGTTCTGAAGCAGCTGGGTCTAGGATTCAAACCGTGTGATGGACCATGTGAGATCCAGATTACTTAACCACTATGCTACCGGCTGGCCCAAAAGATAGTGTTTGTTTGTTTTTATTTCTTATAGTTTCGTTAAAAGACAAATTACATTTAAGAGGAAATGGTAATACAGGAAGTCAGTTTGCAAAATATGTGGAAAATACATGACAAAAGTAACAAAAATGATAGGTGAGATGATTAAATGAAGTTATACATTAAAAGTTACTACATTTCTCAAATAGAAAATAGAACGAGACCAGCAGATTTCCTGGTGGTTAGTGCACTGGACGTCCCACATGGCTGACCACAGTTCAAGTCATGGACCTTGTGGCTTGAAATTCATGCTAGGCATGAGTGCTTGTGTGCCTAAAATCCCAAGAAGAGAATGGAGGAGAAGGGATTGCAATGTGGCCATCACTCTGTAGGGTGATTTCTCATTTTTTTTTCTCTCTCTTTCTCTGGCAAGTGCACGTGCCCTGTGACAAAATCTCCCTTAAAAAAAGAAGTAAAATAGTATGTGGGAAATATGAAATAGAAGGAAGAAAGTATGATAGTATTGATTCCAAATAGACTTGAGAAATGTAAGATTTATTTATAGTTAAGAAGAAATAAATGAAATGCTAATTTAAAAAGAAAAAAGAAGACAAGAAACAATAGGAATACATCTTATATAAACCAAAAAAGCAAGGAGCAAGAAACAAAAAGAAAAAGACATTAGATAAAAATACAGCATATCATTATATTATATAAATGAACTGAATACTCCAGTTGCAGGGAAAGAATCAACAAAGAGCCATTTCATGAAGAAGATGTAATGATATAAATGTACCAGCATCTATTAAACGAGCCCTCTAATTCAGAAAGCAAGGTCCTTAATCGTTTATCTCAGGTCTCTCAGTCACAACGAGTTCACCTTAGTCTCAGCTGCATTTTATTCATGTCACACTCTCATATCTTAAGTTTTTTCCATGGCATTCATAAATAACTCACTTTTTTCCCCCTTTTCTTTCTATAAATTATACTTTAATAAAAAACTAATAAAATGTAAAAATGCAGGCCTACTAGGGTTATCAAGACTACCACCCAGTTCTGTAAAGTTTGTGTAGTGTTTTACAGTATAGCCCCGATTTATTTTATTTCATATGCTAATTAAGTGAAAAATAGTAATACCTTTTATTAATTGTACTGGCAAAATTTCTCATCTCTCCAGTTTCTTCAGTTCTTAGAATTTGCATCAGTAAGTGATTTTGTTTGTGTCTGTTTTCTCCTTTGCCCTCCTTTCATAGATCCAGGTGTATAAAAAGGAGGCGCAGGGTATCACCAGCCCTGGCTTTGCCTCTTTGACATTTGAGGGAACTTTGGGAGCTCCTGTCATACCTCGTACTTCAAGCAAATATTTTAACTTCACTTCTGAGGACCACAAAATGGTAGAAGCCTTACGTGTTTGGGCATCCACTCATATTTCACCTTCTTTGACTTTACTGAAATTGTGCGATGTTCAGCCAATGCAGTATTTCGATCTGACTTGTCAGCTTTTGGGCAAAGCAGAAGTGGATGGAGCATCGTTTCTTCTAAAGGTACATTTTTTTTGTTGTTAATTTCTTTTCTTTCTTTCTTTTTTCTTTTCTTTCTTTCTTTTTTTTTTTTTTTGAAGGTGTTTTACCATTCGGCACATGCGCTTGCCAAAAAGACAGAGAGAAAAAAAAAAAAAACCCTCCCCCCCGGGGGGGGGGATGGCCACGCCTCAATCTGTTCTCCTCCATTCTTCTCTCGGGATCTTGGGCACGCATGCACATGGGCCTGGCATGAGTTTAAGCCACTGGGTCTGGGACTCAAACCACAGTCGACTACATGGGAGTCCAGCAACATAGCCATCACACTAACTGCTGGTCCCCTAAAGGTACATTTTTAAAAATACTTAAAATTATAAATTAGCACTACCTCCATGTCTATAAAGAGCTTATTTTTCAGTATTCTATGGAATGAATATATATATGTATTATACTAAGAAAATTTAACTTAACATTTTTGATATGCCTCAGTATCCGTGCGGCTCTAGTCTTATACTTCTCTTCTTCACATCTTCCTTCCTGAGAAAAATGGTATTGTCAGATTTGTGCTTTAAATATAGTATTATATTCTGTTTTTAAATCAGCAGAATAAAGTTACAGTAAGACCCATTTAATCTTTTTTTAAATTGTTTTCTTTTCCTTTCATTCATGATAATGCATGAGGGAGGACTGTGGGGAGTTGAGCTCCCTCCACAGGGTCTGCCATGTCAGTATTCCCTCCTCCAGTCCTTCAGATCTGGGGCACTCATGCATGTACCCAGTGTATTTCAGACTAACTGGGCTGGAAATTCAAACTCTGGTCGCCATATGGGATCTAGCCCCTCTGAGCAATGCATTACCGCTGCACCACAGAGCTGCCAAAGACCCATTTAATGTTTGTTTACACTTACTCCAGTTTAGCTCATGAATAACTTCTGGAAAAGACAGTTGTCCAGTATTTTCTTTGCCTGGCTATCCTACAGAATATGCAGTTGACCCAGCATTGCTTTAGCTCTAGTCCAGTAGTTATTTCTCTAGCCAGTGTTTAGAATGATAGAAAAAGAAACAGAATAGGGTAGCACTGGGACACATCTTATGGTGTAGCATTATTTTGGTTTACACCTTGCCTCATTAAGGAATCATAAAGTTCTTAAAATCATTGAATAAAATATAAAGTTTTTGAAGCTTAAAATAACACACTTGTATACACATGAAATATAATGAAAATGTAAATGAATGCTATAAAGAATGTTAAGTAAGTATGACCAAAGTGAAACTAAAGCAACATAAAATCAAAAGCTGGAAGGATTCTTAAGTCAGCTAGTTATACTCTCTGGTCAGAGTGACGTCGTAAAAATGAGCATTTACTGGGGCCAGCAGGTAGTGTGGTGGATAAGATTCTGGATTCCCTATGGCTGACTGCAGTTTGAGTCCCGGACCCGGTGCATGTACATATGTGCCCAAAATTCCAAGAGGAGAATAGAGGAGAAGGAGAATAGAAGAGAACAGATTGTGGCATGGCTGTCCCCTCAGAGGATGATTTCTCATTTTCCTTCTCTCTGCTATTGATGAGCACATTCACCCCTATAGCAAAAACCTAAAAAATAAAATGAGTGTTTACTAACCACTGAACACTTCCAATGATGAGGAATCTACAAAGGTTCAGAGATGCATCTTTGTTTTTGTTTATTTCTTCCATGAGAGACAATCTTTGTGCCACAATTGCCCCTCAGCCTTGGCCAGCGGGGATCGCCAGCATGTCTACACGTGCTGGGCCCATACAGGGAGACCTTGGGAAACACACACAGGACTTTCCCACATGGCTTCAGCATCACAGAGCATTGGATGGCCCCTGCCCACTACAGCAGCCCAGAGAGCATCTGGTGATTGCTATGTTGTTAGAAAATCCTGAAGTGCTAAAAAAGTCTGCCACCTTTTAGCTGTCAAAATTTGGATCTACATGTTTCTCCCAAAGAAACATAACATATTCTGGCATGCCATTTTTGTAGTCTTTTCCGGTAGGTAAAACCGGCTCTCTTTTCACTGTTACTTTTTAATATAGTATTGAAAAAGTCCATTACAAAATTAAATTAAGAATTTCATTCTTGAGGATAATTTTGAAATAAATCTTATTTATTTCAAAAGTAATTTTATTTTACTTTAAGGAAATAATTTAAGATGTTAGCAAAAGTACATTTTAAAGAATATTTATCTTCTGTACAGTTTAGAAATGAAAAAAGATTCAGTTACTAACAATAGAGAATTAATTGTGTGGATTATTTGTGTATGATAAAATATTTTCTGACCATAAAATGATATTATAGATATAGACTTGTTCAGGTGGTTTCATGATAGCCTATTTAGTGATTAATATAGTTTCATTTATATACTAAAAGTGTGTATATAAATAGCGAAGATATATTGGGAAGCATATATGCAGCATTTTATTGTTCATATATCTAGGAAGTAGAATCATGAGGGATTTTTTTTTTCCTGAGAATGGTTTTCTTACTATATATTGTATAATACATTTTTGTCCATTGTTTTTTAAAAACCAGAGGAGCCATACATGGTGTCTGGTTAGCATGTAGTATAATTATTTCCTACCTCAGCCTGGGCACAGTACTAATATTCGTCCTTTTTCATGCATTCATTTTAATTATTTCTGTAGTAAGGTATAGCAATGGTTTGCATTAAAAGCATAATAAATTTGTAATCTAACATTATTCTATACTTTCCTCTGTTCTGTTTATATAACATCTTTCTGAAAGTTAGATTTTCTTTAAGTATATACATTCTATTTTTTGTAATGCCACAGTGTTGGTACAGCCTCATCTTTTGAGTATTTTTATTTGTATTATGCTTCACATTTCTGCTTTTTTTTTTAAATTTTTTTATTTATTTTTTTTTTTGAAGAGGCTTTTGCTATAGGGCGCATGCACTCACCAGAGAGACAGAAAGCAAGAAATCAACCACGCCACAATCCCTACTCCTCCATTCTCCTCTTGGGATCTTGGGCACGCACGCACACATGCCCGGCGTGAGTTTTAAGCCACCGGGTCTGGGACGCGAACCGCGGTCGATTACGTGGGAGTCCAGTGACATAGCCATTACGCTAACTGCTGGTCCCATCTGGGGGTTTTTAAAAATATCTAGAGGTCATTCTCAACCAGAGCTGCTAGAGAGTTGCGATGTCTAATCTGTTATATGGCTTGGAGAACAAAAAAAAAATGTGATTAAAGAAATCATCATACTGGGCCAGCCAGTCGTGTGGTGGTTAATACAGCCAGATCCCGCATGGCTGATAGCACAGTTCAGGTTCTGGACTTAGCAGCTTGAAAAATCATGGCAGGCGTGTGTGTGTGTGCCCAAAACCTGAGAGCAAAGTGAAGGAGAAGGGACTGTGGCTTAGCCATTTCCCCTGGGGGAAGGTTCTCACTTTTCCCCTCTCTTGCACTGTCTCTTTCTCTCACTCTCCAGGGAGTACATTCATTCATTTTATAGCAAAAATTAAAAAGAAAAAAAAATCATCATATTAAAGAGACTGCAAATTTGCAGCATTTATTGTATGTGTAATGTGAAAATGTCAGAGCAAAGCTGTGTCACTAATTTAAGAAGGAAACTGAACCTCATATAAATAATTTAATGTCAAAGAACTAAATCATTATCATAATTTTTAAAGCATTCATAGTTTTGCTAGTTGTGTTTATATACAAATCATTTCGAGCTGGGTTAGTGGCACAGTAATAACATGCTGTTCGAGCAATTGCATTTAAATGGAAGGTCACGAGTTTAGCCCCCTGGTTGACCTATACATGCCAGGGCACATTGCTCATGGTCCTGGCTGGCAAGGAAGGCTGGAGAAGATCAGATCACGGCCTGAGACCCTGTTGGGGTTGCTACATGTATGTCTCATTCTCATGAGAGAAATCAACCTTTTTTTTTTTTTTTTTTTTTTTTTGCTATAGGGTGCTCACCAAAGTAAGGCAGAGAGGAGGAAAGTGAGAAATTGCTCATCATAGGGGATGACCACACTGCAGTCCCTTTTCCATTCTCCTCTTGTGAGTTTGGCAATGCACACACACATGCTTGGCATGTTTCTCAAGCTTCCACGTCTGGGATTTGTCAGCCACTGTCATCCAGGTGGGATCCAGCACCTTAACCACCACTCCACCTGCTGGCCCAAAAGAAAGAAACTTTAAAGTATGTATACATACATGCTTTAATACACATGAGCTTTTGTCAAGGTTATTTTGGTTCATTTTTATTGAGTAAAACATCTGACCCAGGGAACAGAAACTGATTTAAGTATTTTCTTTAAAAAATTAACTGCATTTCTATTGGCATTATTGTGATTACTATATTACAAAATGAAGTGTGTTAAAATTTGAAAATTATTTAATTTACTTACACTTTAGTCACCAGAGGACACTTGCATTCACCAGAGAGAGATGGTATGGGGCATAGACATGCCCCACAATTCCTTTTTCGCTCTGTAACGTATGGGTTTTTTTTTTTTGTTTTGAGAGGTTTTTGCTATAGGGCGTGTGCGCTCGCCAGACAGAGAGAGACATAGAGACAGAAAGCGAGAAATCACCCCCCAGGGGGATGGTCATGCCGCAGTCTCTTCTCCATTCTCCTCTCAGGATCTTGGGCACGCATGCACACATGCCCGGCATGAGCTTTCAGCTACCAGGTCCGGGACGCGAATCGCGGTCAACTACGTGGGAGTCCAGCAACATAGCCTTTACGCTAACTGCTGGTTCCCTGTAACGTATGGATTTTGAACATGCTTGCACATGTGTTTCAAGCCACCAGATATAAGATTTGAACTCAAGTCAGACTTGTGGGATCTGACTCTTTTAACTGTAAGGCTTCAGGGCTAGCCCTGAACATTTTTTTTTTAATTCTGTATTTTAAACTCAAATATAATAATTCATATTAGGAATATTTGTAATTCAAAGCCAAAAAATAGTTTAGTGAACCCCCGAAGATAGTTTACCAGAGAAGAATCACTGCAGACATTTCTTCCTAAAAAGGGGCTTTGTGGAATACATAGTTTTGACTACAATTAATATTGTAAATTCAAGCCATTCTGTAAATACACACACAGAAGAATAAGGTGAAATAAACGATTTGTCAGTATTTCGTGTAGACTCAGTAGTGTATCTCTTTTTCCTTTACATTCTTCTACATTTATCACATGACCCATAGTGCTCATGTAGTTCTTAAAGTATTGCAGATATTTAGAGACATTATTTAATTATATTGAAGTAATTTTACCCCAAAATGAAACTCCTTTTAGCATCACTGCTTTTCAAAAAGACCATTAACTTTTGCTCTTCTTTCTACGGCAGGTATGGGATGGCACCAGGACGCCCTTCCCATCTTGGAGAGTTTTGATACAAGACCTTGTTCTGGAAGGTGACTTAGGTCAGATCCATCGACTACAGAATCTGACAATAGACATTTTGGTCTACGATAATCATGTGCAAGTGGCAAGATCTCTGCAGGTGATGCTGAGTGGCAGAACTGCTTGCTACTTGTTTTTATACATTGTGATGATTCTCATTCATTTAAGTTATAACAGTAAATGGTTACATTTATAAGGAATCTTTGAAATCTAGAAATTCACTTCAGATTTTTTTTTTGAAATTTTAAATTGTAAAATGCGTTTGAATTATTAAAAGAGAAGTTATAATGGAGTGAAAATGTTTTTTAAACTGAGGAATCTTTCTTGAATATTTTGTAACTGTGCACATTTCTTTTTGTTGGAGAGGTTTTTGCTATAGGACGCACGCGCTCGCCAGAAAGACAAAGAGAGACACAGAGAGATAGAAAGCAAGAAATCACCTTCCAGGGGGGATGGCCATGCCACAATCCCTTCTCTTCCATTCTCCTCTCAGGATCTTCTCCTCTTGGGATCTTGGGCACGCACGCACATGCACCCGGCGTGTGGTTTTTTTTTTTTTTTTTTTTTTGT